AAACCAGCTACTCTAGCTCCCAAGTATAAACCAGCCACTCGAGCTCTGGAGTATAAAACAGCGATATCTACTAGACAATTCCTTGGGCTCTGTTTGGAATCATCGGGTTAACTGTTTTGCACGGTTTCTGCTATTGGCAGTTTTTCTCCGACACAGGTATAGTTCTATACTGTACTTGCCAGAACGCATATATGGTGTCACTACTGAACAGTTGTCTCAAGTATTCAAACCGACGGGTTACTCGAGACGTACACCTCGGGTCCTCTAGCTCTCAGAGGTAAAATGCCAGCACACTGCTCTAGCTCTCGGGGATAATGCCAGCGGATCCCGCTTGTTCGTGGAGGTAAAATTAGCGTCCCAGATAGTTAGTACATCTTCATTCCTGAAGCTCGCACACGTTCCGTGCTTCAGCGTGGGGGGGGGGGGGGGTTGTGGTCAGATATGCGATTTAGGGTTATCAGGGTTTTTGTAGTTAGATATCCGATTTTGGGTTATTAAGGTTTATTTGCGGATCGGTCATAAACCCAGTTTAGGGTTCTGATCCGAATACGCACTTGCGCTAATTGACCAGATGCTAATCGAGTAATGTTCAATAAATAGCCAACGACTCACCTCTGATGAGGGGAGTACGTTGGGATATAGTTATTGACGCGTATTTACCACAATCATCTGCACTGTGCAGTCCAATCTCGTTTTGGCTCAATGTAAGTTGGGTGCGTCTGTTCATTTCATCGGCACTCGGGTTGTCTCCCATTGCTACTTCCATTGTGGCGATCGAAATTAGCCTCGCTGTATCTAACGGAGTCGATATTTGCTTGGAGCGAGGCTCTGCATACCCTAGGCTGTGCGAGAACGAGGTGAGTAGCTGTTAGCCAGACTTTGGGCCCGCTCGTACTATAACCGTGTGGGCCCATGGTGTCTTTCCACAGGCGATCTTGCCATCCTTCAAGAAAGTATGCGCGGTTCTCGGAACTAAGATTGGGTCCTGTTGGAGTAGCGATACAAACAATTGTAACCACTCTGCTTGTGGTGCCCATGGTAAGCACACCGTGGCTGACGCTCCCTCGGACTTGATCTTCCTCAACATCCGATATATCAAATACCATGTAGGATTCATCCATACGTCGATATGCTTCCAGTTGTGCTCAAAAGCACTCCCTTTCTTATTCTCGGAGAGAAGTATCGTGACAGTTAGTGGTCCTTTTCTGAGGCGAATACATCGACGTTGTTCTTGCCCAAGAGCTGCTGCGCCTGTTTGAAGTAGTCTGGGAATAGTTTCCAGCATTCGGCGTAAAACACCTCCATATCCTCTTCGTCGACTGTCCCCTCATGAAGTCGAAACCACGCGTCAGGCAACACATTCTTTTCGCCGGGTATGTGCGATATGGTAAAGTTGAACGGCGCTACGATATGATGCCATCTCTGTAACATCGGGTTGAGCTTCAACTGTGTACTCATGTAGATTAATGCTTTGTGGTCCGCCAGTACGGAGAAACCGCTGCAGTGTGTAAGTCCGTACACTAATGCAAGTAGCTCCTTCATCGGTGTGGCGTAGTTGCGTTGGGCTGCATTCAATGCCTTGCTGAAAAACATGAGATAGTGCTTCCGCCCCTCCACGGTTTGGAATAGGGAACCTCCGATACCGTAGTTACTAGCGTCTGTCTCGAGTTGTACTGGTATGCCGTCCACTGGGAAGCGAAGAACTACCGAGTTTACTATCGCGTGCTTCATGGCGTCCCATGCCTCTTGGTGGCGGGGCTCCCATTTGTTCCCGATGTCCTCATTCGACTTGAGTTTCACAAACTCCCGTAAAGGCGCTACAATCCTGGCGAAGTTGGGGGTATGTTCTCGCAGGAAGTTTGCCAGGCCTAGTGCCGAGGCAATGTCTTTGTAACGCTTGGGTGTTGGCCAATCGATCAACTTTGCTTGTTTCTCGTGGCAGATGTCGATGCCTGCCTTGGAGACCTTCTTACCGAGCACCATGACTTCTCTCACTGCGAAGTGACACCTGGTTGGATTCAGCTTGAAGTTGTGGTACGTTAGTCGGCGGATGACTTCTTTCACCACTTTCGTGTGCTCTGCTAAGTTATCCGTTGCTATAACTATGTCGTCCATGTAGTGGTAAGCGGGTAGGGCTTTCAGCACGACACTCAGGATTCGTTGAAACTGATGCGTCAACATGTGCAGACCAAAGGGTGCTGACGTGATGGAATACTGACTCTTACCGTGGGTAAAGCTGAACAAATACTGCAAGTCTGGCTGTAATTAGCAGCCTATAGTATACTGCCGTTAAGTCCAAGGTCGTGTAGTATCTCTTGCCTTCAATGTTTCCGTAATGTCGTTAATCCTCGGAATTATGAATTGGTCTGCCGGAATCAGTGCGTTCACCGCTCTCAAATCCAGGCATACCCGGACCTTCTTCAATTCTTCCGACTAGATGTACTCTGGTACTGCTAGTAGGGGGAGGTTGACTGGTGTCGGAGTATCCCGCATAGTGATCACAAGATCTTCCTGCCATTTCTCGACTTGCTTGTCGATCCATGGGATCCACTTGTCCGCGACGAAGTTACGTACTTCCCTTCTCATGCTCATCGCCGTCTCTTGCGTGATGGGTATCCGCACTTCTCTTCTTACAAGACGACATTATCTTTGTCCGAAATCACCTTGTTACCCTCCAGTTCCGCTTTCAATTCTTGGCGAATCCCGTCCGCCTCTGTCAAATCTGGGCCATTCCGGAGTGGGAGAGGTTCCAAGAGTTTGTCTAGTTCGTCAATTGGTGCAAAGGGAGACTGAAGACCTCCTTTATACAAACCCAAACTCGGCATCAGGTCTTGGCCTATGATAACGGTTATTGATGGGGGTAGGTTCATCAGCTCGAATGATTGTGTCGACATCTCTAGCCCATATCGAACTGGTGTGGCGAGTGTAGCTCCCAACCGTTTCGTGCGTAACGATCTGTCTGCTAAATATATGTAGGCTCCTTCTGGTGCTGGTGTTGTTGGTAAATTCCATTCTTTTGCGGATGCCGTGTCAATGCAACTCCTGTTTGCTCCTGAGTCAACGAGTGCTCTGCATGTCTTTCCATTTACTTGTATGTTGATAAACACCCTGTTGTCTTTCGATATCAGTGGGTCTTTCATAGATAAGATTGCCGATGCACCCTGCGGGAGAAGAAGGGTTACATCAGAGTCAGACACCCTCACGTCCTAATGAGAGACGTCGGAGAGGTCATCCCAATCCTCAGTGTGTTGATCCCCACCCCATTCTTCTTGTTCGTCTTCGTCTGGGTGTTGCAGAAGTAAGGCAATGTGCATCTCGGTGGGGTTGAACGCCTCCTCCTCTTCTTCCTGCGCTGGAACGTCGACCGCGTTTACCTGGAGGGTGGGTTGAGATTGCCGCTGTTGAAATGTCGGCTTACCCACTCGCTGGTTAGAACAGTGATTCCTGCACGATGGGATGTGTCGAAAGCTGGGTGGCGCATTCGTGCGGCATGCATTACAACCCGTTGTAGGTGGACGTCCAGCGTTTCCTGCTGCTGGAGGTTGGTTCTGTGCCTGCGGGTTTGCGACGCCTCTATTCTGAGGCTGTCTCCTTGCCTGTCTGGTGAAGCCGCGTAGCCTGTCTGCGGTTGCGTCGGTCATACCTCTTTGCCAGTTTTTCTTAGATACCGGATCCGTCTGCTCATTGCGAATAGTGAAATCTGCTTCCTGTATGTTCGGGTTCAGAATTCGTAAGAGCTCTTCCGTGTCCATACTATCCCATCCTGGGTGGTGCTGGAGGGTCCGTTCATACGTTAAATGACCTGTCAAGTCTTCCAGTCCTTGCACGAGGCAATGGTTCAGAAGTCGTTGCGGAAAATCTCCTTTCTTTTCGGCTCTGTCCCAACCTTTTTCGTGGATGTCAACCACCTTGCTCAGATATTCCCGTGCTGATTCGTTACCTCTCACTCGGGGGTTACCTCGAGCAAGTCGTTTGAACGGTGGATCTATCGTGGCTCTGCTTTCGTGATCGCAGATGCTGTCGATCACCTGCGCCGCCGTCAGTCTCGTGAGGTTTTCGTTTTTATATTTGATTGAGTCCAATGTAGGTTTGACCGCCTTAAAGTGAACCAATACCTTGTAAAACCAACGTATCACCCATGTTTCATCGAGGCCAGAGACTTGTGCGTTCTTCACTGCTTCCTCTAGTGCCCCTCTTGTGTCACGTTCCGCCACGTTGTGGAGTCGATACCTTCCTTGTGGCCAGTCTGGCCATTAGCGAGGCTCATGCTGACGCTTTAAGGCCTCTTGTTGGGTCTGAACTGCTCCTTGCAAAGCATTTATATGATGGTCTGCAGAGAAATGCATCGTTGCTCATCGTGTTGCTCCTGTGCTTCACATAGCGACACTGCAGATTCTGCTATCTTTGCTTCTAGGAGGCTGCAATAATCTAGTTGCTGCTGTTTCGTCTGCTTAGGCGGTACTACGGGTGTCGGTGCACCCCGGGGAGGGGTCGTGTGGAGAGGTGCGTGGTGTGGCGTAGAGGTGCGAGAGGTGGAGTTGTTCGCGATACTCTGTTGACTGCGAGTGTCGAAGACGGCTGCTTGTGTCGGCTGTGGTGCCCTGTCCCTCTGCCGCAATAACTGTTGTCGAAGTCGGCATGCTTATTGGGCTTGAGCGACTGTACCGTGGGGGTTTTCCCAAAACTGTCCCTCTTGCATCTCTCTCTGTGTTTCTAGTCGTCTATCTCTGTGTGACCCAACACGTCTATTCTTGTTGCTACGTGATCCATGGGATTGGGCGGAATAAGAGGCTAGGTTGAACTCACTGTCGTAGTCGTCTTCGTGATTCCCTTCGTTGTCCCGTGGGTATTGATCCTGGATCGCCCTGCGTCTCGACTGGTGGACATCCTCATACGGTCGAGTCTGGCGTTTCCACGTGTTGTCCCTGTCGTCGCTGTATCGGTGGGGTGATTGGGATATATCGCTGCTCCTTGTGAAGTGTTCATCACTTCGTCGTCCACTCCGGCTCTCATAACCTGAACGTTCGCTGCGTCGGTCGTCCCTCACGTTGGTGTCATGAGTTTTTTGCTGCCTTTTGTGCATCCGTTTCTTACGACGTTCTTTGTCGATGTCTGAGAGGGAGCGTAACGTTGCTTTCCCTTCCTGTCGAGTGCGTCGGGGGATGCTCCTGCCTCTTCACCCTCCTTGAGCCCGGCGTGGTTTCTTGCTGGGAATATCACGCGGGGGGGGAGGGCATTAGATATGCGCTGGAGGCGTGAGTAGTTGTTGTTGTTGGCGAATCTGTCGTGGTCGCCGCTGGTGGATCGGTGCCTGACGGTGTGGTCGTTGGAGCTGTAGGCCTTGCGTGCCTACGGTCTCCGTCCCTTTTTTTGGGGGTCAAAGGGAGTCGCGGGACTGTCTCGCTCACACCCGCTGGTGCCCCAGTAGGGATTGGTGGGGAGTCTTCTGGCGCTTGTGGCAAACCGATGCCAAAAGCAATCGCTGCTTGCTGTTGGAACAAGTAGTCTGGCATCGGCGGCGCGGTGCTACTGGTCGGTTGAGTGTCGGGTGCGGTGCTGCTGGCTGACTCAGCGATGGAACCGCTGGGTATCGAGGTAGCCGTTGCGTACGGTGCAGAGTGGTTGGCGGTCATCGTGCTAGTGTCGAAATATCGAGTGTAGTCTTCTCGTTGATACGCTAGCTGCTTAAGTAGTCCGCCCCTGATGTGCAGGACGTGTGCGTGCTCGACGTTCGCTCTAGTGCCTCTCCATTGTGTTGGTTCAGGTCGAGGACGGAGTCATTAACGCTTGTATATACCTTTCGCCCATTTGCATGCCGTTAGGCTGCCTTGCCGTTAAACGTGGTGGGCGTTAACGTATTGCCTTGGCGCCGCGTCTGCGTTCTCGCCCGATTTCCGTTAACGTTTATCGTACCACGTAATTGCGGCGGAACTGTTAACGTTGAACGTTATCGTTCTGTCCGAGTTTGCTGGGCTTCAGAAAAAGACTAGGCTCGCTGCTCCAAACCTGTGTTCCTACTCCACAATTTTCCAACTCCGCGGTTGCTCCTCCGAGTTATTGTTGCTCCTCCGAGTTATTGTTGCTCCTCCGAGTATATTCTGCCCCTGATTTACTCTGCCTCTTGGAGTCCAGGAGTTCTCGTCCAGGTGGAAAATTTTGCTCTTGTCGGGGTCCCTGGAGTAATGGGTCTCAGGCCCCAAAATTCAAAAAGAAAAGAAAAAAGGGACTAGTTTTAGAATTTAGGCCCAATTTTGTGTGGCTATGGGTGAGGGTGGATGGACCAGAATGCTCCAGATACCTGGCGCTAATCGCCATGACCTAGGGTGCCTCCTAATTATTCACATTTCTTACCTGAACTTACCTTGTATTTGTTGCAATGTTCGCTATATGTTCTTCATTGACTCTGTTCCAGTGTGTCTGTACAAATGCACTTAGAAACAAGAAGAACGTGTTCAAGTGTCGTATCGTCATGCGTAATTATATAGAAATCTAATATTCATATCATTATTAAACAATGAAGTAAAGGAATGCCTGAACGAGGCTGTGGTTCGCCAAATTGAATCGTGTTGCTCCTACCTCGTGCGAGTGTCTGTGGTTAAGAGTTTAATAACTCCGAATCCCCCCGCTCGTTCGTACGGCACTTACCTGTCTTACCTGTACGTCGATACATTCTTATATCTCATGGTTGTAACTCGTCTTATTATATCAACTGATTTCTATTACTTGTTACATCGTTACACTACCCATTATTTCTATTACTTGTTACATCGTTACACTACCCACCTTTGAAATCTCGCTGGCCTGTAGTTCGCAATGTATAGCCTTCGTCTGATCCGACTCGTCTTCATCCATGTCGTGCTCTGTGTGGCTATATGTGTGTCTCAACTACTAGTTGGTGCCCATCGTGTGAGAGTTATGGACACTGTGTTGTCGCCACGTCTTTGTGCATCACGCTATGACGTATACGCCAACCCATCTTCTAAATACGTGCACTGGTTCTCCATGTATTTATATACCTTATAGTTATATACGTAGCCTTTTATAGACATATCTTTCTATTCTGTAGATGTATCTATTATGTCTATCCTTCTCATCACCCTCAGGGTCGGTACGTCCTTGTGTAGCTAAGGCCCGTTTCTGATGACCATGTTATATGAATTGTCATGGCGGGTATAATAACGCCTAGACGTGTGCGACCTATTCGTGTGCAAATCCTGTACTCATGACCATGTTTATCTATACTTGTATGGAAACTGGTATGACAACAAGTGGTTTTACACATATACACAATATAACTTGCCCAATCTAACATAGATTGTGTATCACAAGCTCGCGGACGAGTGTCATAGCCTTAAACCCTATCACCCGTCACATGTCTATATTCTTGTCACAATTTGTGCCATGTTATTTAGAAATTTATAACTAATTCATTCCAGCCTGTTTATCGATACCATAACATGTGCCTATGTGTGTGCTCTTGTCATGACTTGCACTATATTACATATAGTGTATACAAATTCTTGGACTAGTCTGTTACGCATGTCCGTCTCAAATGCACTTGTGAACACACACCACCTGTTACTTCTCTTCACTAGGAACTATCTTATTCTGTATTTACACTTGGTTTAACCTTCTCATATCACAACCTGAACCCCCATTTGTGTTCTATTTGTTATTCCTAAGTAATACTTTGTACTCAGTATACACAACCAACATTGTCTAAATCATTTGTTCCAAATTTGATACTTAACTTATGTGTTGGTCTGGCACTCACCCTATTTTGTCTGTGCAGACGCTGGGTAATACTTGTGTTGTTGAAATGCCAAAAATGGGTATCTTGAACTAATGCTCCCCACTATTCCAGAAATTAATTGTTTGTTATCTTATTTCCTTTCTTTCAGATGATCTATTTAGACGCTCTAATTGGACTTGGTAATTTGGTTGAACGACCTAACGCTCTCTATTCTCGTATATTAATAATACTTGCCTATAAAAATATAGAAAATAAAATTAATGAAAATAAAAATACCTAAAATTCTATCCGTAAAAATTGTAGTAAACACGTCAAATACGGTCATAAACCCTACTGAGGCTCAGTGAGCCTCGGTCAGGTATATTTATTAAGTAATTTGACTGTTTACGTGAGTTCCGTAGAGTCTCACCATGTGCGACTCTATGGAACTAAAACCTGCTAAGCAGGTTTATCCTAAACCTAACCAGGTTTATCCTATTAAGGAGTTTTACTACAGTTGTGCTGGATTCAAGCCTTTTCAGAAGTAGATAATGTCTCTTCTGACTCCATCGATGACTTGAAACAAACACCCTCCTATGCCATAGTCACTAGCATCGTTCATGATTTGAAACGGCACCTCATCAATCTGGTATGCTAGTGGCGATGGCTGCTTTGAGTTCTTCCCACTTCTTGATTAGTTCCGGTGTCCATAACATGGATATGTTCTGATTCATTTTTCCCTTCATTAGGTTCCGAAAGTGTTTCGTTGTGTGGGCAAATTTGAGGACATGGTCTTGCTTATAATTTGCTAGTCCCACTGCTTTGTGCAGATCTCTTTTTGTTCTGAGTAGTGGCCAATCCATCATTCTTTTTTGTTTCTCAGGGTCCGCTTTGAGTCCCTGTGTGGTGACTTTCACCCCAAGAATGTTGATCACTTTGACCGCAAAGGCACATATGTTGTGATTTAGTCGGAAGTTTGCGCTATTCAGTCGCTTGATTACTCCACGAACTGTTTTGCAGTGTTCTTCTTCTGTGAGACTCGCAATGACTATGTCATCTACATACACTTGTACTCCTTTGATATCTATGAGCAGATTCGCCATGACTCTCTGAAATTGTGCTGTTAGTGAGTGTAGTCCAAACGGCGCGGACTTGAATGAATATTGCGCTCCTCTCCACGAGAATGCGAAGAAGTGTTGGCCTGCTTCGTCTACTAGGAAGTGATTAAATCCTCCTGTAAGATCTAGCTTTGAAAAGAACTGTGCTCCTTGTAGGTTGTGTAACACTTCTTTACTTTTGGTAACACAAACTTGTCCTGTTCATATTGATAATTGATCTCACGTAAGTCTAGACATGTCCTGACTTTTTTTGAGTAGACCTGTTTGGTCATGTTCTCCTGCTGATAACAACGGCAGGTTTACCGTTGTGGGTTTGTCGCGTTTGTATATGTGACCATCTTTAAGCCATCGTTGCACATTCTCGTTCGTTTGCGGAATGTATTTGTGCGGAACAAAGTTGACTTTAGCGTGCCTCATTTGTCTGACGCTGATTTCATTTGCAGGTACCGTGACTGTGGAGCCTGGTAGGTTACAATGAACATCAGGAGGTATATTCGCACTGGTATCCAGGAGGTCTGTAAGTGACTCTCTGAAACCTTCTTGTTCATGCTCTAAGTCTTCTTCATGTGGTGTGAGGAGTGATTCCCATTTTGCATCTGTTGGTATGAATGGGTTGATTAACCCTGCTATGTATATACCTATGTATGGTAGAATGTCCATACCTAGAAGTATTGGTGTCTTTTTGTCTGGTAAGTCCAATACTTCAAAGCACTGAGAGGTCATCCTCCCTCCATAGTTAATGTCACAAACTTCTGTTGATCCAGTGCGTTGTATTATTGCATCTGTTTGTACTCGTTGTATATACCCAGGTTGCGCTCTAACAGACAGATATAGTTCTGAAACTACACTTTTGTCCATGCATGAGCGTTGTGCCCCTGAGTCTACTAGTGCATTGTATGTATTGCCATTTATTTGTATAGCAATGTGTAAACGTTGGTCTCGTGGTGCGGGAAGTAAAGATAAAGGTTAATAATTTATATCATTTGCATTTATTAACAACGTTTCTTCATCTGTAAATACATAGAGTCTGTCAGCCAGATCAATCATGTTCGCTTCCGCCCACCAGTGTTTTCAGTGCTCATCACCTTCTGTGATGTCTTCCACCTTGCCAGATGTAATGGACAGTCTTGCTATCTGTACATCTTTCTTGGCTCGCTGCTCAGCCTTCTTGGCTTGGACTGCTTTCTTATCGGGACATTCGCTGTACCGATGTGGGTATGGCATTACCAGGCAGTAGGGGCATGCACGTTCTTCACGTGCTTCTTTCTTTTTCCGTGTCTGCTCCCCTTGCTTGTTCTGGTTTTGTAAACCATTGTCTGTTTTGTGACGTTCGTTGGCGTTCGTGGAGTTATCCTCCACTTGCGTGTTCGTCTGTGCATTATTGCGCTTATTTGCAGCTCGCGCTTGATCTCTCAACATACACTCTCCTTGTGTTACAGACGCCGTTCATATGTGTGTCTCAGTCATAGTATGAAACTTGGTATGTTCTATGTCAGACAGGTGTCCTTCACTTCCATCAGGTTGCTTGTCTCCTTTGATTAGGAGATCCACTACTGATTGTAGTCCATAGTACTTAAGTGCTAGGTACCTTTGTACTTGGAGGATTTGGAAGTGTATGGGTTCCTTGTCTGAGTTGCGGTGACGCTCCTCTAACATCGCCATTGTCTTGTGCACACGCTCTGTGCGCACTTCGACGTTCATCTTCTTATTCTGCATGTCATTGAGAAACTTCTCCAATAGATAGTCTACTGGGTGTGATCTGAGTCGATCAAGAAAGATTCTATTGAACTGTTCAGGATCAGTGAAGTGACTAGTCGTTTGTGTCTCAGAGTCTCTTATGTTATTGAGTACTGCTTTGGTTTTCTCCGTTGCATCAGTGGAATCTAATAATCTTCTCACTTGCGCTGGATACTGACACAATGGCATTGACGTAGCTAAGAACAGATAACTACATTGTGTAGTGAACTCTGTGATATCTTCACAGTTTTCCAAACTAAAGAAACTATCTTTAGTCCTCTTGGGAAATTCCGATGTCTTGAGTAATTTCTCAAGAGACGGTTCATTTATCTGATCTCCTAACCGGGAACGCATGAGCTCTAGCTTACTAATGTACAGACCACTTTGTATGAGTTTGTCCTCTTCATCATCATCACAATTGTTGATCGCTTGGTCATATCGTCGTCTGAGCTCCGCATCCACTAGTGGCATGCGACGCTCTGGCTGTTGATTATGTATGCCTACCCTCATCTTGTTCAGAGTTGGTATGGGCACCGGTACTGTCTGTTCCAATTTGGACACAAACCGACTCACCAGAACAAGATTGCATTGACAGATACTCTGGTCTATTTCTAGACACATTGCTGACGCTGCGATGGGTACCCCCGCCGGTGTAGGCTGACCCGAACTACTGTCTGGGCTTGCCTCCCCCATTGGGCTGACTCCCACGACACCTGCGCCTTCACTACCGCCTTCACTACCTTACCCCCCATTGTACACGCTTGTTCTGGTTGCTGTTGGCATTTTCAGAAGTGTGTGTTGGTGTGTGGGTGTTAGTGGATTATTACTAAATACTCTATATAGGTTCTGTGGGAAAGCGCGCACTTCACCCCCCCCCCGCCGGTCTTTTGTGCTTATTTATATAAATGAAATGAAATTTTGATTTGTTTTACTTACTGCTATAGTGTTGTTGCTTTGCTGCACTTCCACTGGAAGTGTTTACCGTGCTGTATGACGCGGTAGCTTGTTGCTTTGTTCCCTGTATTTATGAGGGATAAAAACGGTGTTTGTTAGTAAAGCTTATTTCGTCATGTGTGACGTCACTTGTGCTTATTACGTCATGTGAGAAAATAATTCCTCATGTGTTCTCAATGAGATGTTCGGTCCTTGTGACGTCACCGAAAAAGGTAGGTCCTGTCGACGTCACCGAAGAAGTTCAGTCCTGTCGACGTCACCGAATAAGTTCAGTCCTGTCGACGTCACCGAAGAAGTTCGGTCCTGTCGACGTCACCGAAGAAGTTCGGTCTGTTGACGTCACCTCTTGATGTTCGGTCTTAGTCACTGCACATGTATTGATGTGTGCACCACCTGTTGTGTGTGTGGTTTCTAAGTGATTCTCACTTGTGATCCTTTTTGGTGCTTGTGTGCTTCCTTGTGTGGATCTCACTGGTTGTGTGCCAGCTTTTGTGAAGCTTGTTTGGCTCGCGATGTCCTTGGGCTTGCTGTTCTTGTTCGCCACTTGCTGTCCGTTCCTAGGACTGTAGCTTGTGAAACACAGTGATTGATTGTGTATTTCAATTGTGTATTTCAATGTTGTGTACCAATGATTGAATTGGTCACTTGTATGTGTGTGTCGTCTCTCTACTGCAGGTTATTTGACCTATGTGCTTTTCAAGTGCTCCCCTGACTTTGCTTTTGTACGTGTTATGTCGTACTGTGTGTGTTCCTGCCCTTCAGGTTTATGGTTGCACGTTGTGCTATTGTTTTGTGACGAGCTGATTGCTCTTGGATGTTAATTCACCCTGTTGTGTCTGTGTATTGTTTATTTTTGAATGTTTGTTTGTACCTCAATGAAGACCATTCGTTGTTAGCGATGCTTTGTGCACTTTATGTATTATTGGCTTGCTTGTAGCTCAATGCGCTAGCCTACATTTGGTGTAATTGATTGATTGCCACTCTGATTTGTTGATTGAGTGTTTTGAATCTTGTATAGCTTGTATAAAGTGCTGCGTTGTTTGTATGGAAATGGCTTGCCCTTCTAATGATTCTATATTGAGATCTTTTCATATCCTAGTAGGAAGTATTGTCATAATCTCTAGTTTATGTTAATGAATGGAGATCACTTATTTGAAATCAGTGAATCTTGTTTTAATGACTATCATGTGATCACAAATTGTGATGCTTAAGTTCGTGTGTTCACAAAGAGTGGTACTTAAGCCTTATTTGTGTCTTGTATTAAGTAGTGGTGCTGATTCCTCATTCCCCTGTGTACCGCACTACGTGTTCCATATCATGTTACTCGCTCACCACACTTTCGTCCTGTTTTGATCGTTTTTAGACTATAATTGTGCTTGATCAGGCCGTTGGTGTGTGGCTATATGATCTTGAGAGGTACTCTGGTAGTATGTTGTTTGTACTCATAGGTATACTTTGAGTTTTAGCTATTAGTGTTCCTCGATTGTATGTTCGATTTGTGTGCACCTTCTAATTTAACTTCTGATATTGAGTATTGTACTCAGAACTTCGCTATGATTCACTATGAATATCTCCTGACTTGGGAGCTACTTTTTGCTAAGGCATACCTCTTTGTTATCACTAGTTGGATCTTCCGATCTCTATTTTTATTTATTAAGATTCTCAATACTATAAATTACTTTGAAATGTAAGTGATGCTTCTTGTGAACTTATTGATCCTCTTAATTGATCGATCCTCCTATCTGGTAACTAGTCTTTTTAGTGTTGTGTCCACTCTTCTTATGCTCTAGATAATGTGTACACATAGATGCTCTATCTCACTTGTTGTTTGCTTGTTACATTATAATGTGATGATTGAATCTTATATTGCACTGTGCTGATTGAATCGTAGATAAATGTTGTCTTTACCGTGTTCTGTGTTCTTACTATTCGTCTAGAGAGACTTCTGTGTACGTGTAGTGATGTGCTTTTTGAAAGTCTAACGTCATTTTGGTTTCTTGTCTGAAATTTCCTGAAAAAGCTCAACATTGATAGATCGATCACCTTGATAGCTTCTCAGTTTTCACTAGTTTATGCCTTCACGCTGGTACTTACTTGTACCTCTCTATACTTGATAACACTCTATTAACATAGTACACTTACCCCAAATATTCAGTACACAATGCTGTTACCTTGTATGTTCCCTTTTTTGTTCACTAGTGAGTCTATGCCGGAGCTCGCTTCTTTGCTTCTTCCACTCACTTCTTGTTGGGCCCCGGCTGGCTAGCTGGTGGGAACACGTTTATTCGCCTCCTCTTTCTTGTCTAGCTTCCTTGGCTGACTTGCTGAAACTTCTTCTTTGTATCTTTACCTTGAAACTGAAATAGAGCTTATTCGGTATTACTAGATACTTATTGTGTACTTCACTTGTCACTTGCTTTGTTAGGTGGAAGTCAGTTGACTTATCTAAGTAAAGATATTGTAAATAATGTAGAGTATGGAGAGCAGCTGAAAGGTATAAGACAATAGGATACAATAGACCTCTTCTCAAGTACGGTTATCTCAGCTAAGAAATTCCCTAGTCTGAGAGAACCGAACTGAGTCTTTATTTGTGTTTTCACTAGACTCAGGATTTACTTGAGTGTTTCTCTCACACGCGGGAGTCCCGGTATATATATTACCGGTTCTACCGCTAATATTTATGATGACTCTAATATCATAAGTATTCCAATCCTAATTCCAAGCTCAGTATTTGATGATTCTGGGTTTTGGGATTTGGATTGGCTTTTTGATATTCTGGTCCCTAGATGATACATGTATGATGACATTGCCCACTACTACAAACTAGACACAAAAGCCGCCGAGGATTATGACCTAGCTGCAGACTTAGCACTATTCAATTTAGATTTAGATGACGATATTTCAGAGAACAAGGATGTATCAGAGACTTAAGAGATAAGTAAACAGTAAAGTAACATATAAATTTATAACTTAATTTATTCGACTAAACTACGTTCTGTTTATAACCCTGGATCCCTCCTCACTATGGGTGATATACTATCGGTGAAGAAAAAATCGTGAAGAAGTGCGGATCTACCAAACGTACCTCCTGCGCCAACATCCTGAACAGTTTAGCCGAAGATGCAATCTCAATCGTTTCTAGATTTTGCGCAATAGTAAATTGGTTGTCTTTGCGCAACATCGGAGGTACGTTATATGTGCATCCAGCCGGTAGTAAATCAGCTATATGAAATTCTTTATCACCCATCGCGGCGGAACCAGGCCACATCTTCACGTATAGAGCCTTTCTACATATCCGAGATATTTTCCGATCATTTATTTTGCCGGGATACAACGGAGACACATATGTGCAGTGTCCGGCGGCTGACATTCCCACGAGCCTTTTTACCGTATTATGATGTTTGTACTTGCTATTTGTTGCCTTTTGGAAATCTAGATTGGACAGAGTCTAGATGAAGAACTTTACAACAGTGAAGGGAGTAATATGTGTTATTGATAATTGAGTATGATGCAATCCCTTTGTATTTATAATATACGTGCATACAATATATTCATTCAAAGTACTACGTTAACATATTGAGCGCTCTTCAGACACACGAATACATACCTGTGCAATCGACAATTAGTTATGTTTTTGGATGCTTGTCCATGAAGCAAGGTAGCCGTAGTGCATCCACAGTTGCCTTGTTGAAGAAAGTCATCGGTGCATTACCAGGATGACGGATATAACCCAAAAGTACTGCATTCATATCATTGAGAATATTTGATACGGTCTGTGTACAAATTAATCCAAACAAGTGTGTTAGGATGCTTGATCTAAGTTGTACCTAACCCTGGCGAACCACAACAAAAGGGCGTTCCGAAAAGTCAGTGTATTTCGTCCGGGTCTGAATGCTTTACCATATTCCTCTATATTATCCGCAAAAGCCAGAAACTTAGCGGGAATTTGAAATCCTGTCCAGAAGCGAACCTTCTCTACATCCTTATATACATACTCGTACGTCAGTTTGTAAACGTAAGTCTCTTTAAAAGTCTTCGCCATCCCGTCAAATATGTTGCTTCTCATTGAGTTTTTCCTCCAACAAACTCAATTCAATCTTTTGCTTGAAGACCTGTCGTGTGTTCCTGTTCTACACTTTTCATCTCAGTACGTAGTTGGTCAAATTCTGCTTCCAACGCTGCTAACTTAGCAGCAGATCTGCTAAGAGCCGCTATCTTCTCTTCTAGCTGCATCTCAGTAGTGTTCACCTTAGTGTGTCGCCTTTTTACTGGTATGATATTGTCATCTGGATGTATGGTAGCAAGTGGTCGCCTATTCGAATGTAAACTGGGTCGGGAATTCTCCTGCAGAGATTCCAATTGCATCATCTCATTCAGTAATCTCTGCTGTTCTAACGCTTCCTGTGCTAAACGTGAACGTGCAATATGTGCCCGATATCGTTCTGCCGTCATTGGAACAGCATCGCTTGTGAGTTTTGTATGTCTCCATGTTTTACGTATATACTTATATGACAGTGTTTTGTGCACAATTTATGTTGTATTTTTATCTCACAATGAAGTTGACCGTCCCGTCAACCAGAACCGTGTGCGATCTTGGTACCAGACTGTGGCATTCTGGCAACGCTATATTGTCGGTTCCTCCCAAGATCTTGAAGCCCATATCAGTCTTGCTCAAAGATGGAGTGCGATTTAAGTGGGGTGCTGACCAGCAGGCCGCGTTTGATTTAATCAACGCGCGTCTGAAGACATGTGCAGTCCTTGCTACGCCGGAACTGGGTGACCGGCTCTATCAGTTCGCTGATGCTTGTGGGCATATCGGCCTTGGTGGTGCGATATGTGTGCTGAGGAATGGGGAACTCTGGCCAGTGGCGTATATTTCCTCCAAGTTCTCACCGGACCAGCTCAACAATCACGTAACTGACAAGGAGTGGCTTGTGCAGGTGTACGGTCTTCGGAAGCATTGGATTGTGTTTGGTAACTCTCATCACCCTATCACAATCTTCACGGACCATCAGGCACTTTTAACCCTGTGGCACCGTAAGCCGTGGCCGGCGGCAGGCACGCTGGCAGGAGGCTTGTCGGGACCGTGATGGTTATCTCTTGCATGTGTGGGGTGGGTAAGGACAACGGCACAGCGGATATGCTGAGCCGCCTTGCAACTAAGGTGGATCTGTGGATGGATCCGGTTGGGGCGCGAACAGCTACCCCTGTGCGGCGAATTACGTGGCGGTACCCGGTCGCCCGCCTGGTCCTCTCCACAGTAATGAATATATGGCCAATAACAAGTATTTCAATGTGGCTTATAAGGCTTGGGGTCCGGATACCCATTCCCAGGCAATAACCACTTGCCCTCTTATTTCTCCCCCTCTTTGGAGGGCGGTGCGTTCTCCAAATTATGGACGTTCCTCAACTTTGAGATGAATTGCCCGTGGGCCGCTGTCCCGCGCGAAGATTATCGCGGATGAAGAAGACATTTCATTAACGTGTCCTTATCTCCCTGATTCCCCAAGGTTTCAGCTGATGTTATCTTTGTTGTCGCGGGAGCCCATCATCATTCCTCCGGAGAAAGGGGTCTTTTTTTCGCTATGGACATGAAGAGATGCCACCTCGCTGGGGTACTAAGTTGTTGTGTAGGCTATCGGCCAAGGGTGCCAATTTCCAGGATACTAAGGATTTTTGGCGTCAGCGTGACGCGTTCGTTCCAGGAGCTGTGGCTGGGGACGCCACCCACTCGGTTCTCCGGACTAGTCCGCGAACGGTGCCCCCCCCCAACCCACTCCCGTGGAGCTGTCTTCAATCGAGCGAAAGGCTGCGCAGGGCACGGAACCTAAGCGCAAAATACCTGATCGGCGTGTGCACAGGGCTAGTGCCCGACATGGGCAAGTCCAGGCAGCTGTGCAGAGGGACTTGCCCAAATCTAAGGGCAAGGTCGAACCGTCAGTCAAGCGTGCCATGGAAGGCTCTTCTCCGTATCGGATTCGGGGCTTCATATTTTCTTGGCCGGAAGTCTACAGTGTCATTGCGGCCACCCACAGAGTGTATATGCATACAGGAACTGACAAGCTGATGGGCAAGCTGTATACCCTTTATGGATGGAACGGCCTGCGATCCCTGGTCCGAGTGATCAAGCGATCGTGTCACCGTTGCTAGTTACGGGCTCCGCATAGTGCACAGGAGTTGGGCTTACTCCAGCAGCCCAAGCGTGCGCGCGGGTTGTTTAACCATGTGTTCATGGACTTTGCGTCTCTGCCTAAGACCTTAACGGGATATACTCATCTTCTGCTGGTGGTGGACAGAGCCACTTCGATGGTGTTAGTAAAACTATCTCACACTAAGAGTGCTCGTAAGGCTATTAAGTTCAAAAATGAAGTTGTTCATCCTTGGGGTCAACCCAAAATGTACACGTGTGACAAGGATTCTGTCTTCATGGCCAAGGAATTTGCTGACTTTGCAAAGCAATCAGGCAGGGGAAAGCACGATGTCACCACTGACCATCACCAAGCCAATTGTGCAGCCAAAGCTATGGTGAAGGTTGCTCAGGATTAGATACTCAAGTCTATGACTGCGCAGGATGAGGGTGATTGGGTCCCTTGGTTGCAACTGTTACAATGCTGCGACTACCGCCACTCAAGATTTCGCCCCATATACGATGGCTACCAACCGTGTATATGATGGGGAGCGTGAGTTCAACTTCGAAGCCGACGTATGTTGCCTCCTGGCCACTGAGGACTCTGCCCATGCCTTAGTGCGTGATGATGCAGCGTTCCAGTGCACCCAGCATGCTAAGGAAGCGCAAAGGGCGAGGGCAAATAGGGTTCGCAAGCGGGCTCAAGAACTTGCTCCCGGGTCTCTGGTTAAATTCAAGTCTTCCCCGGATCGTCCGAAGTTGGATGATAAATGGAAAGGCCCTGCTACTATACGGTCGCAGGATGGCCCGGTAACGTACACTATCTCGTTCCAGGGCAAAGGAGTCAGTCGCCACTGAACCCAGCTCTGTCCGTATATATCTCCCATTTTCCCAAATATTGGGCAGGAAGTCGATTTGGTATTCTCGGCGATTACGAGCAGTGGCTATTCATGCGGTCCCTCTTTCGGAAGGCACCGATCGAGTGGCGCAGAGCGGTGTTGCACCACCATCGGCACACTGAGAAGGGCCAGACGTGGAAGGGTCTAGTTAACTCGGCCTTTGGTCTTTTGCAGAAGGCGTATACCCGTAAGGACAAGCGGGTCAAATACAACTTATCTCCTGCGGTTCGCAAGTTTTTGCGCGGGAATGGAAGAGGCTCTCCCCGGGCACTCTTCAGTCACGCATGTCCCTGGTCGGGTCGGCGTTGGCGTTTGCTCAGGTCCCCACATTCCGTGCCGAGAAGGTTAAGGAATGGACGGACGCAGCGAACAATAGGGATATTTAATCTTTTATGCTTTTCATTACCTGACATAAACAGCGACATCAAAATTTGTACATGGTATAAAAACCGAAATTTTCAAATCCTATTGGAAATTTGCTTCCGATGGCTCGAGTTGAAAACAAACGCATGTTTTTGTCCAATAAGACCGTAGTAGTGAAGATTTTTGTTCAAGAAAAACTTGCACTGTGCAACTTGCTGCCTACGACTTGGTGGCTCGGTGGAAAAGCCGCCTGTGGTCAGATATACTCTATTTAGTTTATTTCACGTTTTTAGGTTTATTTGAAAAAGGGTCATAAACCCTGGTTTAAGGTTTATGACCAATTTTATACACATGTTAAATATTAGAACCTATGGTTCATTTTATAATTCAATAAAGATACAACGTCTCCCCTTGTAAGAGGGGAGTACGTTGAGATATTGTTAACTCGCGTATTTGACTACATTTTTAACAAGCTTATTAGTTGTAATTTATTGAAGAAAAGTGATAACCGACATAGTCTAAAGAAGACAGATTAATGACCCATATTTTTTTCGCTAGAATAAGAGCGTCAATATCAGGACAATGGAGAAACCCCCCAGGAAGTCACATGAGAGAGGGAAATACACCCATAGGACTGTCCACGACAGACCGACAGCTGGGAAGCGAGGATACCGGGTTCGGTAGTAGTGAACTGAGCCTACCATCATTGTTGTCAAACTCAGGAAGCGACTCCGATGTAGGCAACGAAGCAAAAGGCTACCCAAATGAAGAAATGTCACCACCACGCGGATCGCTCTGTGAAATGAATCAACCCCTAGACATGAGACGGCAGAGATCAGCCAGATGGTACATCTCTAATACAATAAGTAGTGACGAGAGACAGGAATACACGAATGTGTGGAGGAGACGACAAGCAGGACTTCCAACGAGGTTACGACGAATAGTGAGTGTACCAGACACACCGAGGTTTTGGGGACATGACCATGACGAGGAAATGAACGAAGAACACTGGACAGGGGAAGTTTGCTATGGACAAGGTAAGTCTCTATGGATAACAAGGAGACGTACAACAATACACTGAAATACAGGTGGAGTCTATAGGCAGATGAGTGTTGATAGGAAGGTGTGAACATTAGTAATGAGCAAATATGAAATAGTGTACATGAGGTGTGTGATAAGGGATCAGTAGATATTAGCGGTACGTATATGGAAGTGAATCATTGTGTATTGGCCTCGTATAAGTGTAACATACGATAGCGACTAGTTATGAGCAGCATAAGTGTGGAAGTATAGGTGTGAGAAGAATACCACAAAATTCGATATGAGACACGTAATAGCATCACATTGTGGAGTATGCGCGACAGAACAGCTGTCAGCGAAGAAGTAAGAGGAGCAAGAGATGCAGGATGGGTGGAATAGAGAAAGAATAGGTAGACAACACGTACGGTCGGGACTAGATAGATAGAACGAGTATGTAGACAAAAGAAGCACGTGCGACAATAGGGGGAGCATGAGACGTGTGACCATAGGGGGAGCATGAGTCTAAAGCAAAGAGCAATGAAGGAGAGTTACTCCATGCAATTAATCTGCACGAGGAGTAGTGAGTCCATGGACTCTGGGAGTAGGCAGATGTAATTGAGAAGTACATGTGTGTCAAGAGAGGTGCCATCCGTTGCATATATAAGCAACAGATAAATAGGTTAAAGATAAATTATTCTCGACTTAGACATACAAGCACCGTAACCTTACTGCAATGCCGAGCACCCGTAAGAGTCGTCGGCAGCATGGTCTGGAACTCGAGCAACATGTACGTAGTACGAGCCAACTACGAGGTTTTAAGCGTAGAGCTGGCCTATCTCAAGAGGGAGACCAAGGGTTGTCTGAGGACCAGCGAGGGGAGGCAGACGAACCATTTCAGGCGACCAGAGCGTTATTTGGCTGAGTCTCAGCATCGCCGAGCGAAAGCAACGAGTCGTCACCTCCGAGCGCCCACACATGGCGTTGTAGTGATATGGGACAGAAGCGTCAGAATGACGGTGGCAGGGTTCTACACCAACAAGGACAGACTCGACCTCGTCAGAAGCGACGCCCTTACCGTCAGAGCCGTCAACACGTGAGCAATGCACAATCCAAGAAACAGCAAGAATTGCTGGAGAAATATGAGCAGCGGCTGCAACACCTTCAGCGGCAGGCAGAGAGACCTCGAGGAGGTCCGACCACTTTTTCTCCAGATCAGGGCCAGGAGGAGAGTATTAGTACCAGTCAGCCGCCGGAGTCAGTTGGGGAGAATAAACGTTTAGAGTTCAGGATTCCAGGCAGTCCGGTTAGATACGGAGTCGGATACCAAGCCCCAGCCCAAGGGATGGAACCTCACGACTCAGATACACCACGGGCGGCGATCTCCCTACAAGATTCTGTACATGCGCAGCAAAGAGCAGCACAAGACCTTCATGGGCCGGAGGCGCTGGAAAACCGTCGTGATCGATTATCGGAGACGGTTCATTCTCAGCGACAGAATCGACGATTCGAGGCGGAGGCACTACGAGACTCGATACCCGAACACACGGTGTTATCGACCCCTGCGACACAGGTATCCCCACCAACGGCTGGTGACAGGGTGACCCCTCCGACACCGGAGAGTATTGCGGCGGATCGCCAAGCGCTTCATGCGCGGATGCTTCGACTATCGGAAGAATTGTGCAGTGCGGTTGATGCAGATGATCTTCTACGTGCCGAGGCGCTGAGAGGGGTGTTAGAAACCTTACGAGCCACACATGACTCGCACCCCGTAACCAAGCACGAACCACGAGAACCGAGAAGCTGGCCTGAATGGCCGTCGAACCGATACCAACTACACAATGTATTCGAGAGAGATACTAAAGGAGCCCTGGTGGAGGCGCTGAAGAACGCACAGATCTCGGGCCTAGACACGGCGTGGAGTTTACGGTGGTTTTATAAGGTTCTGAGCCACTTCAAGACCGAGCAGTCTACTTTAGATTACATCAAGTCCAACCACCAACGGTTGCTTAATTGGACTCCAGAGTTGCAGATAACACAGATCTGCTCTCGCGAAACTCAAGCGACAGTCGACCCCACATCCCGCAAGTTGGCGAAGGGACACTCTCAGGTGTCAAATGTACCTATTATGGAACAGATGACACAATTAATGGAGAATCACAGACGTGCCCACGAACGCAGCCAGACGGATGCGGAATTCAAGCAAAACCTTTTGAACCACTGCATTGTGCAGTTGTTGGAAGACTCTCTTGGGTCTCGTACATATAAGCGGACGCTACAACTGCACGCCAAGTGGCACTTGATGGAGACTCACGAATTGTTGCAGCTTCTCAGTCCTGATATTCAAGAAGCACAGACAAGAACTACGGCGCGGATGTCGAAACGACGACCACATACCAACGATCATCAACAGGGGGGTGGGACGGTAGCTCGTACACCGCATATGACCACTCCACGAGGGACACAACAGTGGCAACAGCGCATGCCACCGTCGAATACAACAACAACATGTGGCGGGTGCCAGGCACAAGCACCACCAGGGTTGAGGCACATTCCTCGCTGTCATAACTATAGGGCAGCGACCCAGGACAACCGTGGCCGCACGTCAGAGACACGTCAACGTGGCCCGGGACCGCATAGTGCAGTAACACCTTCCACAACGATAACACCATCGGTTCCACCGGTACGGAGCGTGGGAGGCGACAACACGACGCAACCATAGGTCCATAGTCTCACAGACACGTCGGCGTGGGATACCCCACCTACCGCCACGGATCTACATATTGGAGCGCTGCTTTCTGGTGATATGGGGGTGAGTGATCTGACAGGAGACGATAAGATATCCCCCAAATGGTCTCCCATATCAGATCAACCTTGTAATATCAGGGTGTCTGACGATGATATAGCTTTGACGTTTGCGTATACAGGATACTCGGTACAGGCGATAAAAGACCCACAGTTAACAGCAGATCAACGGGTGTGTGATCAAGTTCAGTTGAATGGTCGCACATTCCGAGCCCTGGTAGATTCAGGCGCAAATAGAAGTTGTATTTTGCAGGCATCCGCAGAGGCGCTAGGCCTTCCGATATCTCCGGCTCCTCCTGATTCATACATTTATTTGGCGGATCAAGCGGCGCGTACTCGGCGACTGGGGATGACGAAGAGCATCCCAATTAGATATGGAGCGGTTATAACTAACGGTTCCTTGGAGCTCAGGAATCTACCGGTAGGCATCGATGTGATCATCGGGGTAGATATTATGCCTGGCTTAGGTTTATACTTAGGAGGACTACAATCTCTGTTAGCACCTATAGATCCGACAGAGTTGGATAACTTACTGAAGCCGATCACTAGACGGCAAGCCCCAGATTTAACCGAGCCTGACGGCATCCGGGAGGATCCAAAATCAATATTAGAGGCGAATGCAGCGATTACAGATAGCGCACGATGCTGATTGGAAGGAAGTGAGGTGACCATACCGGTCACTAGAGACCAAGCAATGAACATGCGTCGTTCAACTAGGAACTTTGTGTCAGACCTATGGATACCATGCGTGGAAGAACAGGTGCAGAAGTGGCT